CTTACCCTCTAGTAATAAAAAGATTCTCAAGAATCGAACTAAGGTTTTAAGGAACGAATTTAGAAAATATATGTGAAAAAGTTTATGCCTTTGGATCAAAATTCAAACGTGGGTTGTATGTGTACATGATCATGATGGGGATGGGAGTTCACTTGTAGGGAGAAATAGTGAAAGACCATATGGCATTTATTTTCTTTAGTACCTGATAGGTGTGGTGTTAGAGAATTTCATCTCTTTAGTCTCTAGTGAAGTGCGGTGTTAGAGGTTATCTCCTTAATATCGATATAGGGTATAATGTTGGAGATTTGCACTCTTTAGCATCTGTGTGATACAATCTTGGAGAAATAACGCCCTGATCATTTGTGATAGGGGAAATCATAGTTTGAAATTAGGATAAAAAACTTTTGGTGGGGAGATTCTACCATTAAAGGTATGCTTGGATCAATAAGTGTGTGATTGGCCTAGTGAAACCTATAGTTTCAGTCAAGGTGTTATGGAGGATCAAATGGTAGATAATCATGCTAGTAAAAATGAGTTAGCATGAAAACAATTCTATGAAAAGATACTTATGTTTTTATGGCTATACCTGTTTATAAATAAGCTTTACTTATTTACTATTATATATGATAATTAGTATATATGAGTTATTTTGTTATTGAGATATTTATCTCACCTTGTGGTTATATTTTTACAAGAACAGATAGTAAGTAGGGCAAAGAAAAAGATTTGGGACCATAGTGGTGCTACTACCATGCTATTACAAGAGTGTAATTAGTTTACTTAATGTAAATTTGTAAAGAATTAATTTGCCATAAGATGCATATGCGTGTTTTGATATGATGCGTGATGATTTTGTGAATCTTAGCCTAGTTTGTGTGATAAGTGATGAAATGTGATTTGTGGGCTAAGATTGTGTTATATGTGAATATATATATCTATATATAAGTGGTGAATATATGGAATTTGGCCAGGAAACATGTAAATTTGTTAAATTTGTGAAAATATGCCTTATTGTGTGCTGAAGGGTGAGTTGTTGGCCAAATATGTGTGTATGTGTATATATGTTGATATTAGTATCCTATCAAGTGTATTTGGCCCTTATGGACTTGGTTTAAGGCCTAAAGTGGTCTGCTTAAACAAAGTGTGACATTTGAACACTTTAGGTGCTTTGGTTTTCAAGAAAAATGACTTTTTGCACCCTAGGTGTACAACATCCTAAAATTTTGATCCCTATATTAACTAGGCTTAATTATAATAATTAAGTAAATTGATGTGATGTGTGGCTAGAGAGGTCTAATAATCATACTTGATTGTGTTTCACTCTAATTGTGGGTCCGGTATGAAGTCGAGCTACTCGAGCATCGAAAGGAGAAGAAAATAAAGATTAACTATTGCTGTGCCATACACCAAAGCATGAATTACGTCTGCCATGGTGCATAGATAGATACTGGAATGAGAGGAGACCTCTCTGTGCCATGTGCGTGGCATGTGTAGCGTCGCCACAGTGCATAGCCAATTTATGCAACTTATTAGTCACGAACTGAGGTAAAAATTAGAAAGGAAGAAGGAGAAACTAAGAACCAACGACCTGAGCTTTGCTAAGGTTTATTTTTGGATTACATTGAGAGTATTTTGAAGCTAGAACCACTTGAGGTAAATGCCCTAAACTCCGATCCTTCTAATCTCGTCCACATTTATGAGTTTTTAGTTAGGGTTTGATAGTGGGAGATTTATTTTCATCCCATATAGGTTATGGGTCTGAATCCATTGACTCAAATGGAGTTAATGGGAATATATTAGAGTATCTAAACCTAGAGATATTGAGTTTTGGCTATTGGGTCTCATTATTATGTGAAAATGACATTAATGAGGGTTGTTGGAAGAGTGTGATGCCACTAATGGGAGTTTAATAGCTCATTAATGTTAATAGGAGCTAAAGATAGTTAATAAACCCAACAAGTAGGTCCAAAGTTATATAAAGTAGGCATTGAGTAATATAGAAGTGGAAGATGAGAGTTGATATATGTGTGTTTCAAAAGGTTGATGAGTTTAAGAATTGAAAATTGTAGATTGAGCTCTTAGACACCATTTTGGCTTAGGAATTCAAGCTTGGAAGCTATACTATTAAGGGATAAACCTTTTCTTGGATAAGGAGGCACAGCGGAAGATCAAAATTTTAAAGTCCCTATCCTGATTGGATCGAACGAACTCGTTTAAGTCAAGGTGGATAGAAGAGTTACCTTTTAATTCTTTAAAGTCAGCACAAATTTATATCTCAAGAGCTGACAATGTAGATTTGCTTCCTTTACCAATATCTATACAAACAACTCTTTAACTCAAACAGCATGCTAGCGCTCTCAGCGTCCGTTCTTCTTTGAACGTTAATTTTCTTTTCTATAGGGTATTTCTTAGCTCTCAGAGTGTTTTGCCATCAAAACTTTTCTAACACTCTCTTCCTTCATAAGGATGTCCTTATCTATATATAGTATATAGATAAGGGTTTTCGTCTTCTACTTAAAAGCTCACAAAAATATAATTAAATTTATCTCATAAATTTAATCCATAATATCATATCTAATTCGAATTTATCTTATAAATTCCAATTATAAAACTGACATGATATTCTCTCTTATCATGTTAGTTATTAAATTTAATCTATCATATAAAATTAAATTTAAAACTAACATAATATAATATAAGATAACATAATATAATATATATCACATATACATATTATAGTATATATATATGAATATATATATATACATATATTTCAAAAATATATATACATATATATTATATTATCTATATTTAATTTTATATATCATACACATATATCATATATATATAATATATATTTGATATGTATATACATATAAGGATATATATATATGTCAAAAATATATATATATACATATATATAAATTATATTTTATATTTTATATTTCATATAAATACATATATATATTTATATATATTTATCAAATAAATATTTAAATATATATATATATATATAATTCATTCACCCTATATTACATTCATTGAATCTAGACATATTCCAGATTCAGCGAACTTGGACATTATAGCTCGAGTTGGGCTGTTCTTGTGTGTGACCCTATAGGCCCATATGAAATTGGCAGTGGGCTAATTATGTTATTAGCTCACAAGTTACAAGTGTTATCTAGCAAGACATTGCAACTACCAAATTCACATGGGAATCGATGATCCAATATAACCTATCATGCAACCATATCACATCCCTTTTGTCACGTGATATTTCGGTCAAGTACAAGACATGGAATTGTCATTCTCCTTTACCTGACTGTTACTTTCTCGATCTCTGAGTAGACTGACAGTAGTAATGGAAAAAACCCTTTTCATTATAGTATGGCCATACATTTTCTTAGTCTTACTTATCGAGGGGCCCAGTAATATCTCTCACTTAATGTAAGGGATAAATTCCATCTTGACCACTCATATTCCTCTGCGTGAATATCACTAAATTCAATCATGGCCTTTATGATCACCCGGTCAAATGTGACTTTTGATTAGGTCAAAGTTCAGTGGTCATCATGTAGGAATCCATGATTATCTCAGGTCAAAGGGCTTAGTAATATAGTTACATATGAGATAAGCTTATGACTTGTACCATGTAGCTTTCTCATAGCGGATCGATCCAGCACCTCGTACTCTTTCAAGTGCTTATGACTTTAATTTGTATCTTTATAATTAATCAAAGTCCATAGTCTTGTTTCATCTATGATCCTCAAAGATGACCGACTAGGGACATTTAGGGCAATCACTATAGTTTGTCCAGGAATATAGTTATCATATTGAACATGCAATTGTTATAATAATAAAAGAGAAATTCATTAAAAAATATGCATAGTACAATGATTGGCCTTAGGGCACAATTTCCAATACCTTTAACTCTTAAAAGTTTGAAATAACTAGAGGAACTCTACTTTAAGTAGTTATATATTAATTGTAGTATGATGTGAATCTTGTATTTAATATGCAAATTTTTCACTTGTGAATGAGTCTATCATGCAATGAAACCTTGTATTTATATAATTACTTCGATATGCATTAAAACATATGAAAGTAATTGCAAAAGTAATGTTCGAAATGAATTTCATGTTTATAATGTATTTTGAATGAGTAGTTGATGATGCACTCAATAAAGATGAATAATTGAGATTGAAAATGATATGTGAAATTGAATTGTTGCTGATGAATGTGATATAGAGGGATGGTTGAATTTGAAAATAGTGGATTATGTAATAAATGAGAAAAGGAGTATTGATGTCAGTTGGGTAGTGCACAATTGTGAGCCCCATGCGTTGTTTTCGATAATGATTAAATGAGAATGCAAAAAATGAGTGAACATCATACATAGGATGACCAATAGATAGGAGTTCACCTAGGGATTGAGAGCAGAGAAAAATTCATATGGTATTTAGGTTGTCCTCCGGTGCACGGGGTATAGCCTTATCCCACAATTTGTTGAGAGACTGTCTTATAATTTGTCGAAGGACTAGAACTTAGCTTTCTCCACCATTTTATCAAGGAGAATAGCTTAGGGTATACGAGAGTGGTGGAAGCCATAGTTTGAGAGTGAGTTATGTGATCTTTTATCGGGTTACACATCATAATTGGTGAGCTAGGATAGTCCTGTCATATGGATACAGCCTTATTTAGTATTATTGTCCCCGGTTTCAATTAGAAAAAATAAGGAAGATATATGGTTGGTTGATCATTTTCTATTGGTATTAGGTTATGGTCACATGTCTAAGTGTCTTATAACAATGTACTTAATGTATGTGAGATGGAAATGAGTTAAATGTGAAAAGATAACTTATGATATGTGTGCAAGCATGTTTTAAGAGCTTGGTTTCATATGCATGTGTTTGATTACAATTAATATATAACTGCATAGGGTAAGTTTTACCTTGGTTATTGAGTGATTAGACTCACCCCCCTTCTTTAACATTTTATAGGCTTTAGCTCTGGTGCTGAGAGGGAGTGTCGCACCTGAAAATGCAATGCGGACGACACGAGAGCGGAGGTTCTGGCCTTCAAAAAGAAGACCGAAGAAATAGGAGTCGCCACCAAAATTTTGAGAAAAATCTTGGAAAACCGTTTAACACCACAAGGATGGTATGCGAAATCAGAGAATAGGTTTGAGAGTCGGTTAAATGTGGGGAAGGTGTTAGGCACCCCACAACACCCGTTCATGAGAACGGTTACCTAAAGTTTGTTGTGCTATATTAATATAGTTTTAAAATTATTTTAATTATCCCTTTTATATTCATGTGTTTGATATAAAAATGATAAGAATTAAGTGAGAAATATTTATTTATTTACGAGGGAGGACTTGACTCAAAATCTGACTCTGAGGCCTACGTACCCTGTGATGGGGATTAAAGTCCACATAGTTTGAGCTTGAAAATTATTGGTGAAAATTTTTTTAAAGAGAAATTAATTACAAAAAATTCACCATTTTGCAAATAAAACAATTTCTAAAATTTTGATGTGTGTATTTTAAATTGCAAAAAGTGATTTAATTTCAATCATTTTCTCAATTTTTGAATTTTTTGAAATAAAGAAAAGATTTTTAAAATTATTTTTCATGTTTTATTATTTTTTTAGAAAATTTAACTGCTATACCTGCAGAGCCTTATTAGCTCATACGATAATACAGTTATTCTAAATATCTATAGAGATTTCAAAATCTCTCACGATAAAAGGGTGAAATAGTGTAAATATTTTAAGTATATTTTAATGTGTAATTATATAACTTATATTTTTAAACATAGAAATCTTAATTGCTATACCTGCGAAGCTTTATTGACTTACACAGTGAGACAATTATTCTAAAGATCTATAGATATTCAAAAATCTCATATGACCAAAAGATTGAATTCCTTAATTTGATTAATTAATTATATTAAAAACATTTATAATTTTATTTACAAAAATCATTTATTTACTATATAAATTAATAATTGTGAAATTCTGCGAGGATTTATTATCCCACATGATAATGCACTTAATTTATTTCTCTATGAAGATTCTTAAAATCTTTCATGAGACTCAAATATTTTATTAATTATAAAAAGAGAATTAATTTTAATGATGAGTCTTTGGAATCCATATTATTATATACAAAATTGATCCTCATATCTGCAAAATCTTATTGATCTTCATGATATAGAATCATTTTAATTGTCTACGTAGATTCTTAAAATCTCACACGACAAATAAATCAAAGGCCAAAGAGATTAATATTATGATCAAACCATACCCAAAACAATCAGCATGAAATTAACAAGTTTTCATGATTAATAAGCAAGCATGATGATAAATTTTAAAATGCCAAGAAACTAGTAATTCAATTAAATCATATTCTTTGATCACTAAGGGATATAGGATCATATCTAGTCTCATATGTAGTTGGACAGTGAATCCATGGAAACTTGGAATAAAAATGTGATTCAAACTCATAACCTTTAGCCGATACTTTAAAACTTGAGAACATGCTCTTATATTTCCTAATATATCATCAAACACTTAAATTTAGATAATTGTCATAATGCAAGTAGTAAGATCATGAAATCACAATTTTGAAGAACCAAATTGTTAATCCATCTTTAAGCATTTAAATAGATTTAAACAAGCATTAATCACCAAGTCAGAACAAACACTCACTCAATACATGCCCATATAAAAAAAATTAAACTAAATTTCACCTATCTCTTCTACAACATATATGCACACAAAATTTATCATAGCCATAATTGCATTAGTAATTATTCAAGCAAAATACTTTAACCAAACCTGTGTTAATGCAGGCTCGACGCATTTTTTGAGAGTGAAGTCAAGACCCTACCTATGGACCAGATCATTTTGAATCATATGCCACACACAGCGCGATTCTTGGCTTGGATGTCTAATCTCCCTCAAATCTTCAATCTCTTTCTTTTTTTTCAGAGCTCTCAGCCATCTCTCCCCCCCTCAGTCTCTCATCCTCCTCTTCTTGGTTCGTTCCGAAGCAAAAATCACAGGTCCTCCTCGGTCTCCTCTCCGTTTTCTCTCCGCAGCTGCTCTCTCTCATTCCTCCCCCAGTGCTTTTATGCGTGTTCGTCCCTGCTCCTCTATGCTATGTTTTTTCCTTCCTTTTCTGTGTCTGTTTCTAGTTTCCCTTCCTCACTCGACCTCTCTCTTCCTGCTTCCACCTTCTGCTCCTTCTCCCTTTTCTTTCTTAAACTTCTTCTCTTTCTCTCTCTCGTTCTCCATCTCTAGTTTTTTTTCTTCCAGTCTCTTTTTTACTTACTCTGTTTTTATGCTTTCCTCCCTCTGTCTTGATCTCTTCTTGACTCTGGTCTGATGTGCCCCCTGCTCTCGATCTCTCCTCCTCCTTCTTCACCGTTTTCATATGGTCTGAGTGCTGTCCTCCTCGGTCTCCTCTCCATTTTCGTCTTCTCTCTGGTTTTTTCCTCATCCATTCTTATTCTCTATTTTTCTTGCTCTTTATCTCTGTCCAGGCTTCTCGTGCTCTTTCCTCATTCTCGGTCTCTCTTTTCTGATCTCGGCCTCTTCTACTCCAAGGCCTCGTGCATGCGTACGCATGCTTACCTCTTCTTTTGGTCTCTCTTTTCTTTTTTTCCTCTCCGTCTCACTCTCATTCCTTTTGTGCTCTGTTTTGCTTCCCCTTTTCCGTACGTCACTGTGCTCTTATTTTTTCTCTTTTCTGCTACTTGCATCGTGGCCGCAGCTTGCTTTCGGGGCCTTCTCTATATGTGTTTCGTGTCTGCATGCTGTTGCGTCTGGCTGTGTGTTTTGTTTTTGCTCCTGTGTCATTGATCCTCACATGTTCTAGTTTTTGCTATGCTCTGGTTTTCATTTCTGCGTGACTCTTCTTTCCTCCTTCTAATGCGTCGGCCAAAGCCATTTTCCTTTTGCTCTCCCCTTTCTTTGCCAGTAGCCGAAAGCACATTTTGGGCTAGGTGAAGATTTTACCCACCCCATTTCTCTCTCTCTTTCCTTTTATCCTATTTTGTTCCTCTTCTTTTTTTTTTTTTAATCAGATCAGTGGAGAGAGAAAAAAATCTGATTTTGCAATATATATGTTTTTTAAAAAAATGAAAAATAATAAGATTTAAGGAGAGAAATTTAAGATTAGTTGAGTCTCAAAAAGTTGATTTCCAATATCTTTAGATGGTTAGGATAAATTGAGAGAGATTTTAAAAGATTTAAACAAGATTTTTTTGATTTTGTTAAAATTTAATCCTAAAAAGGATTAAATTTTATTTTTATATTTTTTGATTATTTTAATGAAGAAATAAAATCCTAACCAGGCAAAAGATTATCTAAAATAAAACTAAACCCTATTAATTATTTTTTTTGAAAATATAATCAAAAAAAGGACTAAACTTCATTTTTATATTTTTATATATTTTTTGGTTATTTATTATTATTTTTATTAAATTTAAAAAAATACTCGAACAAAATACAGTGTTCACAGGGAGAAAGCTCAGAAGGCTTAAGAATTAGTATATTCCTACTGTATGCCTTTAGCTTATGTTTATTTTGTGTAATAAATATTATTACCAATTCTAGATTGCATTTTGTTCATGCTTGCACTATAAGTCATTTTAATTGTATGAATTGTATTTTAGGCCCTGAGTGGTTGTATACAATGAGTTATATATGTTGATAGTGTTAAAATACTAGTGCAAGGGTAGAAATGATGTTTAAAACATGTTGTAATTGGTTTTGATGTAATGCAAGGCAAATTGCCTCCCCCTTCCATTTTTGTTGAAAAAGGGGGTTGAGGAGTGATTTTGTATTATATTAGTAATTGGGTATGTATGACATATTGTATTAATAGTCCTAGGTCTAACAAACATAGTTCGGGTGTTAGAAAATGCTTTTAGCACTTGTTTTGGGTTTTGAACACCCTTTGTTTATAAAAAAGTTGTGAAAAGTGGTGAAATTGTGTTTGGATGTCTAACTTCTTGGTATGACTTGTGTAACATCCTGATTTTTTATATAATAAAGAAATTATGGAATTTAGGTTTTGAAAAAAAAAATGATAATAATAGGAATTTATATTATTTGAGGTTATTTAGAAATAATATTATGGTTAGGTATTTAATTATAAATTTAAAAATTTAAATTTAAAACCACATAAGTAATATTTAGTTAAGATATAAATACATAAATAATTTTTTTATGTATGTGTTAAAAAAAAAGAGAAGGTAGAAGGAACAAAAAAAAAGGGGGAGGAAGGTTGTTGTTTCTAAGTCCCACATTGGTTAGATGAGGGAAAAGAAGAGGTGCCTTCATGTATAAAAAGGAGGGGGTGTGTGCATTAGGAAGCATGAGAGGCTAAGATGCAATTTAGAGGAAATTACAACTTTTGGCCCAAAGGTTTGAATAATTAAATTCGAACCTATAGTTTTTTTTAATATAATTTTGGGACCACAATCCCATTTTTATATTATTTTTCTCTCTTCCTCTCACGTTGCTCGGCGTTTTTCTCGCAAGGGGGGATTATTTTCTTTTTCTTCAGGTATGTTCTAACTTTCCTGTTTAGATTAGCATTTAAAAATTTATTTAATTACAAAATTAATTTTATAGTTATTTTCTAAATAATATTAGCTTTCTAGTGATATGATTATTTTATAGGATAGAGTAAATATTCTGATTAGGATTTTTTTTTCTATAGGATAGTTAATCTGATGATATGATGGATTAAAAATATAGGTTAAAATTCTTAGGGATATCATAAATATTATAGAATATTTTCTTAAGGTTGAAACTCATGTTAAGAATTTTTGAGTTAAAATCTAGATCTATATGGTTGAATTTATGTGGAATCTGAGACGTAGGGATAAACCTATGATTATTAAATATTTATTTAAGTATGAATAGGTATTTTTGAGGTTATAGAAAGGTGATCTGAGGCTTCAGGATAATTTTAAAATTTTTAATTTATTTTTGGATGAATTTTTAGAATATAGAAGGATGAAATTGTGATACTAGAAGTGATTTGAAGATAAAAAAAATAGTTTATTAGGGTATGAGAATTTTAGAAAAGAATTTAGGAAGTTAAATGAGGCATAAACCTTAAATTAGTGTTAATATGGATTATAGATCTAAGACTTTCTAATTTTTTAAATTAGAGTTATTTATTTTAATGTAAAATTAATATATAGTATTGTGAAATAATTATGTAGATTATATTGACAAAGATAGTGGTGAAAAAGGAGTTGTGAAGGGGCACTTGTTATTCAAGACACAAGGTAACCATT